AAATGAGAAGGAAGAAGGCTCAAGCCAAGAGGCCCAAGAAACACAGCTTCACATAGGGCCAACTAATGAAACCATTGCATAGCCTGTGGGACTGGGCTCTTTTTACTGACAGAGAAATTGTGAGTCCACACAATACAGCTTCCTTCTTCTGCTTGATGGTGATGAACTAATGTGCCCTCATTTCCTTCCTGGCAGTCATTCTTACCTGTCCAGCTATAATTTCTCAGTAGGTTGCCTCTGGCGTGAAGTTTTCAGCACAGTGCTTTTTCCTCTCTCTGCTAACTCTTTCTTATCATTTCCAAGATTACACTTCTTAGACAGTACTGACCTTCAACCATCCCTGCTCCATAGCTTTCCTCCCTGTTTTTAAGAATGCAGGGAGTTGGAATAGGGGAGTTGTTTCTGGTTTTTTAGCCAAAGAAGGCCAAGGGACAGATCCCAGATTAGTGAAAGCAGGAAGCTGGAAGCTCCCTTCACCTGCCCTGCATTTCAGCACGTAAAATGAAACCAACCTTGTCAAAAAGTTTGCTTTGATTCTCTTTAAAGCACCACATGAGCCAGGAGACAGGCCAGAACACCTAAAGAAGAATCACACTTCTCTGGACAAAAAGAATATCAGGTGGCATAGCATGCCAATTCCTGAATTCCAGGAGCTGGTCAAATGACTCATCCCCATTTCTGTAATGGTGGCTTTGATGCCTGGTTCATGTGCGGACCCTGTACATGGATGCTGACATTTACTGAGCAACTTGCTCTGACCTCAGAGCTGTCCCTACTTGGAACCCAAGGTAGGACTAGAGACCTCCTGAACACAAGACAGTTCCACCTAAAATTGTCTGATGAGCCTATGCTGTAGAGACCCTCACCTCCTGCTAGAGCTGAACCCTGAAAACCTCCAGAGATGGAGATCATGGAGAGTTTCTGGGTGTCCTGATGCAGCGCAGCACCCCCCTCCTAATCAGTTTTTCCTCATGTCCAGGGTGAAACTTTCAACAGGCAGTTTGTGGCTGTTGCCTCTGCCATACCATCTGCCACTGCAGAAGAGTTTGACTCCACCATCATCTCTTCAGGTCAGTGTCACCTGCTTTTAGACTGCCCCGTGCCTCTCCTTCAACAGCCTAAAGAGGCCCAAGTTCCCTCAGCCTAAAGAGGCCCAAGTTCCCTCAGCCTTTCCAGATATCTCATGTACTTTAAGTCCAGAACCCCATCATGACAGACTTCCTCTGTACCTTCTCCAGCTTCTGCATGCTCATCTTGAAGTGGGAAACCCACTGGCTCATATGGCATCTACCATAACTCCCATCGCCCTCCTCAAGAACACTCCTCAGCCAGTCCTGGTAAAGCCTGTCTGGAGCAAGTGGTTATTCTGCCCCCCGTGCGGACCTTGCCTCCTTATGCTTGTAAAACTTCAGGAGGTTTCTGTTGGTCCAATAGAAAATGGCATCAAGGTTCCACTGGACTGAAACACCAACATTTCAGCATTTAAGGTTTGTGGGCTAATGCCTCCAACAAGATAACAATATTGGGAATCACAAGCCACTACAGGTAATGAAAAATAATTTTGTGTTTAATGGAGTTGCTACCCAAGGTGGAAAATACCATAGCAACCACCTCAGAAACACCAAAAGAGGGGACAAAAATGAAAGGCATGGGCAATGGGGAAAGGATTTCACAGGGCAGGCTGTTCTTTTTGGAGGGTATGAGGATAGTAAAAGAGAAGAAGCTGAGGAGGGGGAAAGAGGGAATGGTAACATTGATGGGACGGTTAAGTGCATGGGAAAGAAAAAATCAGCAGAGTTTGAAAGTGAAGGCACAGGAGTGGAGACCCCAGTGTGATTTGCTTTGTATTCAGTGCACTGCCCTGTGTCTATGCGATAGAGAATGGACAGACCTTGCCTCATTGCAGTGGTAGGATTTGGTCATTGACCCAGAGGCACTGAGATGCTCTGCATGGTGCCTATAACACAACCAGTCTGAATGGGGGGAGGTCCCTGTATAGGACCTGTGCTGACCATGTCGGCTGCATGCACTTGTGCTGGAAAGCTCTGGCATCTCACGAAGCACCCAGGCCTGTATTTGGTCATCAAATGGAGATTCAACTGCACTGAATTAGGCTAGGCGATGAAGGGGTGTACATGAGAAAACTGCCATTACGCCTAAAGGGACTGTAGGAAACACAGCTAATGGTGAAGAGAAAGGAAGGCTTAGATCCTCCTAGGGCGTATGATGCCTTGTGGTCAGATAAATAGCACTATAGGCCACCACGAACATAGAGAGTAGGGAAATGTTCATTTGCTCTACATATTGGCATCTGCTTCTGGCCAAAGGAACACACCACCAGGCTCCAAAATGCTGCCCCCAGATGCTACCCTGTCTCTCAGAGTTGCTCCAGTAGAGCGTGCAGTCACTTGCACATACCTTGGACCATCTCTTGCATCTCAAATGTCACCAGGTGTTTCTGCTGAAGGAGTTCCCTCCTGCCCTCCATCCCCATTAATTATCAGGGGAGATGAGACAAGCAGCTCACATGCAGGTGCCTATTTTGTGCACACCTGAATTGAGGCAAGAGGAATCCCAGGGCTTGTGGGGTTCTGGCAGGCATGGGATGAAGCTGAATCCCTGTCTAGGCCCAGGACTGCAAATTGAGAGTGAGATGCCTTGAAAGACTCAGCTGTACACCTATCCTCAGCAGGGTTAAAGGAGATCCCCTCCTGTCACTGCCTAGGAGTCCTTTCTAAGACTTAAGACAAGAAAAGATGATTCTTATACATAAGCCTTTTCCTGATAAAAGAAATTACACTGCTAGAAATAAGTGTCTTTCCCCAGCTAAGGAGAACACCATTGTGTATTTCACTCTGCTTCACAGCAGGTTCCTCTGGTGCCCCAGAGACACCTGCAGGGAGCCCAGAGAGGGCAGAGCAAGTGATGCCCTGGGCTGGTCCTCTGCTGCTGAGCTGGGCTGGGCTCCTGGGATGGAGGGAGCTCACGGCAAGTGGGCAGCACTGCAGAAAGACAGATCTGCCTAGGAGCAGCTCCTCTGCTGGAAAGCTGCATGGTGGAAAGAGACCTGGGGGTACTGTTTGACAGCTGGCTGAATATGAGCCAGCACTGTGCCCAGGTGGCCAAGAAGGATAATGGCATCCTGCCTAGTATCAGGAATAGTGTGGCCAGCAGGAGTAGGGAAGTGAGCGTGCCCCTGTACTCGGCACTTGTGAGGCCGCACCTCGAATACTGTGTTCAGTTTGGGGCCCCTCACTACAGGAAAGACGTTGCATTGCTGGAGCATGTCCAGAGGAGAGCAACAAAGCTGATGAGGGGTCTGGAGCACAAGGCTTACTTGGAGCGGCTGAGGGAGCTGAGGTTGTTCAGTCTGGAGCAGAAGAGACTGAGGGGAGACCTTATCGCCCTCTACAACTGCCTGACAGGAGGCTGCAGTGAGGTGGGGGTCGGCCTCTTCTCCCTGGTAATGAGCGATTATCACCATCATTGAGCTCAAGGCAATCAAAACACTCTCTAACATACAGGGCTACCCCACAGCCTCTCCTTTCTTACCTAGCCCACTTGAAGAGTTTATAGCCATCCATGGCAGCACTCCAGTCATGTGAGTTGTCCAACCACGTTTCTGTGATGGTAACTGTAGCATAATTTTCCTGGTTCACAATAGCTTCTAATTCCTCCTGTTTGTTGCTCATGCTGCAAGCATTGGTATAGATGCACTTCAGTTGGGCTCATGATACCACCACTCTTCTGAGGGGAGAAGTCTTAATTCCTAAGTGACAAATCACGGTTGTTACTAACCCATCAATAACCTTCGCATCTTTGCTGCCACTTGCATTACTATCCGCTACTTCCTCTGAGGTGACAGACCAAAGGTCATTGCTAGCACACTGTCCCTCACACATTGGCGTACCATCCCCAGGTTTATTTCTAGCAAGCCTGGTTTTATTTCCCTCCCACTTCAGATCTAGCTTAAAGCTCTCTCAGTGAGCCCTGCTAACTTCTTGGCAAGCATCTTTTTGCTCCTTGCAGACAGGTGCACCCCGTAATTTGTAGGTAGGCCTGGTGTTGTCTAGGCCAACTTATGGTCAAAAAAACCCCAAATTCTGCTCCTCACACCAATATCAGAGACAGGCATTTATTTTGTGGCTCTTCCTGTTCCTTCCCTCATCATTCACTGTAATGGGAATGATTGAGGAGAACACTACTTGTGCACCTGATCCCTTCATTATTTGTCCCAAGGCCTTGATGTCCTTCTTAATGGCCCTTGGACTTCCTGTGCAGATTTAATCACTGCCTCCTTGGAAAATCAATAATGGATAATAATCTGTGGGCCTTACCAGAGTTGGAAGATTTCTGTCCACATCTTTAACCCAGGCCCCACGTAGGCAGCAATTCAGTGCTTTCCTTTTGGGGACCTTCCCCTTTGAGAGTATTTCACCTGGTGTGTCTCCATTCACTCCCACCCCAGGATATATGCTGAGTCCACATCCTCTCCTCACCCCTCCAAATTCATTTCCATAAAGACTGCTATATGCCATCAGTCCTGAAATACATGAAGAAGCCCGAGGAGGTAATGGGGAGCTCATGGATCATCTCCACTGCCATTGGACACCAAGAAGAGAACCTTAAAAACCAGAACGTGCAGTGCAGTGGAACAAAAAAGTACCATGGGCTTAATCCCCAAACACAGGGAGAACCAAGGAGAACAGATTATTTAAAAGGACAATTCCTTGGACATTTTATTGGCAGCAGCTTTGTGGAAGAGCCCAGCCTCCAGGCATTGCAGCTGGGAGATGCACTTTTATTGAAGAGCTGTTATTGGACAGGCCAGATGTGACAGAGTGTTGTGTAAGGGGCAGACACAAGAGGATCAAATTTCAACAGAAGGAGTATAATCCAAAATAGTTATATATAAAGAGTACTATTGCAAGAGAAAAAAGCAGACTTGTGGCCTAAGACAAACTCTGGGAAATGTGCAGAGAAGGGGAGGCAGATCATTGTCAGTGAGACAGCGTCCATTGGATCAGTTTCCTTAGGGCCTCCTTGAGCTCCTGGTTCCTCATGCTGTAGATGAGGGGGTTCACTGCCAGAGGTACAACCGTGTACAGAACTGCCACCACAAAATCAAGGGATGGGGATGAGACGGAGGGAGGCTTCAGGTAGGAAAATGTGCCAGTGCTGACAAAGAGGGAGACCACAACCAGGGGAGGGAGGCACGTGGAAAAGGCTTTGTGCCATCCCTGCTGAGCGGGAATCATCAGCACAGCCCGGAAGATCTGCACATAGGACAGCACAATGAAAACAAAACAGCTAAGTGCTAAACAGGCACCAAACACAAGGAGCCAAATCTTCCTGAGGTAGGAGTGTGAGCAGGAGAGCTTGAGGATATGGGGGACTTCACAAAAGAACTGGTCTATGGTATTGCCCTTGCAGAGAGATATGGAAAATGTATTGGCCGTGTGCAGCACAGCATAGAGGAACCCACAGCCCCAGGCCGCTGCTGCCATGTGGACACAAGCTCTGCTGCCCAGGAGGATCCCATAGTGCAGGGGTCGGCAGATGGCAACGTAGCGGTCATAGGCCATGACAGTGAGAAGAAAATACTCTGCTGACATAAAGAAGAAAAAGAAAAAGAGTTGGGTCACGCACCCCTGGTAGGAGATGACCGTAGTATCCCAGAGGGAATTGGCCATGGATTTGGGGACAGTAGTGGAGATGGAGGCCAGGTCAACAAGGGAGAGGTTGAGGAGGAAGGAATACATGGGGGTGTGGAGGCGGTGGTCACAGACTACAGCAGTGGTGATGAGGCCGTTGCCCAGGAGGGCAGCCAGGTAGATGCCCAGGAAGAGCCAGAAGTGCAAGAGCTGTAGCTCCCGCTTGTCTGGGAATGCCAGTAAAAGAAACTCAACGATGGAACTCACATTGGACATTTTCTTCCTCTCGGCATAGGGACCTGTTTAGAGAGGAAAATGAATCAAAAAGTTAGGATAGATTAATCTGAGCAAAATTGATTCAATTTTCACCTCCAAAACTTCCTCTCTCCTTTCAGGAAGTAAGTAAATAGGGACTCGGGATGATCTCAAGTTAAATACGCTTTAGATATCAAGGAGCTTTTCAGCATTCTCACTCCCAATTCACGCAGATAGAGAGCTTAGCTGAGGGGATTTTATTTTCTGTATTTTTTTCAAGTTGCCCCACCACAGCTGAGGACTTCTGGAGTATTTGCAATCCTGCTGCACTCCAAGAGAAATCTTGTGGGTCCTGAGAGGCAAAGGGACCGTCCCTTAGTGCAGAGGGAGGACAGCCGCTCTCTCGATCAGCCCTGGTCTCAGCTGCCCTGTGCTGGCAGCACTTTCAGCTCCAGGACTATTGCACCAGGCGGTTCCCCCCAAAGAAACAGGACACTGCTGGGAGCAGAGGAATCCAGTTTCCAAGTGCAGATCTCCAAACCCCTCAGCCCGTCGTACCTGCGGAGGATCTCAGTTCTGCCCTCCCAGCAAGGGACACTGAGGACTCATGGCAGCTGCCCACCTACCCAGCAGCATTTCCATGGCATCAGCCCCATGGTGTCTTCTCTGTTGGTCACCTGAAAAACACACTGATGCCATAGGAGTGTTGTGACCTTCTGGAGGGCAGATCCTGTAGATCCTGCAGGTTGTAGGATAAGCCAGCTCTAGGAAATGCCTCCAGGAACACCAGATTCAATGCCCTGCAGCCACAGACTTACCATATAGAGGGCTGTAAAAATTTCTAATAGAGTGAGCTCTCAGCACCCTCCCACCCCAGGCTGCCTTTAACCTCTCTCTGCCTCACTCCTCTCCTCTCAGTGCTTGCAGGCAGTGCCCTCAGCCCTGCTGCGCTTTGCAGAGGAGCTGCTCCTGGGCAGAGCTGTGTCTCTGCAGTGCTGCCTGCTTGCCATGAGCTCCCTGCATCCCAGGAGCCCAGCCCAGCTCAGCAGCAGAGGACCAGCCCAAGGCAGCACTTGCTCTGCCCCCTCGGGGCTCCCTCCAGATGTCCCTTGGTCTCCAGGGGAACTCACTGTGCAACAGGCTGAAGTCATCCCTGATGTTCCCTCCACCAGCAGGGGAGAGACACTTCTTTCCATCAGTGTTATTTCTCCTGTCACAACAGTTTCTCTCAGCTCCCATGCTAATTAATGGAGATGGAGGGAGTTGTTCAGGTGGGAACACCTGGTGACATTCAAGGTGACACCAGAGTTTATCCATATGTGCAGCTGACTGCAAGCTCTAATGGAGCACTGCTGAGAGACAGGGCAGCTTCTGGGGTCATTGCCTTGGAGCCTGGGGAGGAATTGCTTTGGTAGACGGGAATCACAGCAGATGTTTACAGTTAGGACAACTAAAGCCTTCCCTATTCATAGAATCATAGAATCATAGAATGTTTAGGGTTGGAAGGGACCACTAGTGGTCATCTAGTCCAACCCCCCTGCAGTGAGCAGGGACACTGCTAACTAGATCAGATTGCTCAGAGCCCCATCCAACCTGGCCTTGAATGTTTCCAGGGATGAGGC